AAAGAACAAACAATGGTGAATGCTCTTCAAGGCGCAGTGTGCGCTAGCACAGTCAAGACTCGCACATCAGGCACAAAGTGACCGTCATACTGGGTCTAGTGTGAGATTAAATGGCAAAAATGTACCTTCAACGCCATGTGCCACGCATAAAAGTGTCATAAGTACGCAGGGAGCCCACAATGGCAAGCGACCTTAGGAAGTCCCAGTCCGATAACAGCCTTAGCGGATTGAGGAAAGCAGATCCCTCGATAAGAGATGATCATCGGTTGGTGAACCAAGTACAAGTACACTGCTGAACTTATGACTGCCTATCGAACAGTCCCAGTCCAAGGTCAAACATTACCGAATTTGGAATTCGGGGTTCCTGAGATTGATGGGCGTCACAGAAAACCGATTAGAAATCATTGCTTGGTTCAGAACACGACACATGGAAATTGTTACTCAACCACCCTCCCGCCACACACTACGAGGCTTAATAACGAAGAAAGGCCTCACATGCATGGGGTTTCCAGTGCCCACTTACATTTCGCCCAACATGGCCTTCACGGTTGTTCAGATAAGATTAACCATTCACCTTTAGTTAGGTTGTCTGAATAAGAAAGGAACTGGTCCAAACGAGATTCACATCTACTTCGAACTTCTGAGGTCTGTAAACAAGTCTGCGGATGTGCAAGTGAAACTGGTTAAAGAGCGGGTATGCAATCTGCGCTTCTGCCATCCATACGGAGCTAAATGCTTGTGGGCAGGCTTCTTGAAACCCGGTTGAGTCAACAAGAGTGAAGACCACTGACTTGAAAATGTTAAGGTCCTCTGTAGAGTGTGAGGCATTCGGGGATTTTCAATAAAGAATCCGTTTTGTAAGTAAATTTAGTTTATGCTGAAATGATTAGAAGCACTCCACAGCCCTTTTATCCTCAGTGAAAATCACCAGCAGTCAGCATCTCATGAAATTCCAGGGACTTGGACAACAGTTCGAGCGCAACCGTTCGGCCACCAGCGGATCAACAGCAGTGCGATCGGTCCTCACTTACAGAGGATATAGCGCCACTCATCCTTCAATTACACAAACCACATCACGTGGTCGTGTACTGACTGGCTCTCCGAGTGAAAACTCCTCAGATGGAAGGTTCAGTGTACGACAAATACGCGGTTCTTACAGCTGACAATGATGACTACTCAACTAAGCTAATCACCAGTACGCATAAGAAGACCAGGAACTTCCGCTGACCAGCTTATGGTCCAGAAAAACTTTATAACCGGTGATACGGGGAAGCTAGACGTCAGAATTTTCCGCAACATTCGCAGGTCGAACTACTTAAAGTAGGAAACGGACAGCTATAGTCAGTGCCTTCCAGGTTCACTATCCATCAGTAATCAAGATCTTCAAACTGTCACACTGTCTTCAGTAATCATTCAAAAAGACCACATGGAAATGCGACTTTTGCTAGAGGAACCTCGTCATCGAGGGATTGTACACTAATTCAAGGGGGGACCGAGAACGGTAGTGTAGATTTTCAAGCAGGAAGTTCGTTCTGCAAATAGCTACCTCTTGCGACATTAAGTTGGTGGATTTCTTCACCCAGATGGACGACAATACTGAGCACAGAGGATGATACTTGTCTATCTCCGATTGACCATATCTGGGACTTGGTTAGTACATCCGCCCACCATTCCCTAACCTATCTTTCTATATTACTCATCAATAGAAGAAGAAACAAATTTCAATAATCTGAGAAACTCACTAACCAAGGCAGCGTTGTCCAGATTACAGTTTTATCAATCCCGCGACCATACGATACCCAAGTCACTCTCACCCACCATTCGAACGTAAAAGTTCACGGTTTTTTAAATTGGCGTAATCGTGGGTGTCGAAAAAGAGAGAAAAAGAAAAAAATAGTGTTCAACAATGGCATCATACACTGATTTCGTCTCAGGCGGGAAGGAGCTTACTTCCAAAAGTTGTGTAGTGAACAAAATAACAGAACATTTGCGTGTGTGCACAGGAGGGATGTAACTGTGGGCGTTTTGCCGGTTGCGGTGGGGGGAGGTAGCATGGATGCGGCCCACAGCTGGCAGTGTAGTGGTGGTGCAGTGCACAAGCCCAGGCAAGACTTTTGAAAGAGTGAGAGTGAATAGCTAAGGCACTGATCAATAAAGTATCTATAAATCAAATCATCGTGGGATCAATCTGTAAACATGAATCCTTCGCGTAGTTGAATAGAAAAAGGAATGACCAATATAAACAAATTTAGGCCGGCATTACGGTCAGTATATCGGAAAAGCCACGCACGTGCAAGTTCTCGCAAGTACGCCAGTAATTCGAACCCGAATAAATACCAGTTTCAGGTTCCCCAATCGTCATCTGAACCTCCATCCGAAGGACTGTTGGAATCTGCATCGCTATCTTGGTTTCGCATATGTGCGCGCCGCATTTCTAATGCATTGGCCAAGGACTGAAGTAGGTTCATACCCCCTGAGCCACCACCGGATGGTGTAGGCGGTGGGGGTCCGCCCGGGACACCCTCTCCTGGATTGACCTGAAAAAAGTAAGGATGGAATAATAGGGAATGGTACCAAGGATAAATGAGCTGTAGGTCACAACACATTACGGTGGACATTGAAAATATGTGTGAGAACCTATATATACAGGGACAGAAAATATTCACAGATGGGACGGAGAATGTGGAAGAACGAAATTCAACTCACCTTGCGAAGGCTACCCTTTTGGAATCCCATGATTTGCGACTGAAGGTCAGTGCCAAGTGCGGCAACCGGTTTCGCCGCTGCGGGTGTGGAAGGGGTTTTCGGCTCCGGCGCTGCCGGTGTCTCGAAATCGAGTACTGGAGGCGGTGGTGGGATGTTGCCATCGCTGGGCATTGGTGGGGGTGGACGAACACTCTGGTCTGGTGGAGATGTACTTGGGGGAGGAGGTGGAGGAGGTGGTGGTGGTACAGCTGGTCGCTGAAACCCACCAGGGACGGGTGGAGGTGGTGGATGCGAGGGTGGTGGTGGTGGTGGTCGACGGGCTGCGGGTCGAGCGGCCGATGGAACTTCAGCTAGACCACCTTCACGCTTTGCAGTAGACAGTTGTCGTTTCGCCTGAAATCGTGTGTAGAATTTGAGGAAAAACGCGAACATGCGACCGAATTAGTGATCAAGCACACTGACGCGCAACTACTGAGGGAAAAAATTAATCTGTTTTATTAGAAACGGAACGTTCTGCCAAATGAGTTACAAATAGAAAGAAATAAGATGTTGGTCTGCTCGCTCGTTGCTTTGAGGGAAGGATAGAGAAGGTACGGACGAAACAGCAACAAACTTACCTCGTCCCAACCGAAGCTGCGCACAAAATCGACGACGAATTCCCGCTCACCGGGCACATTGAGGCAGTCCTCCTGCCCCAGCATCCGCAACATTTCACGCAGCATTTCGTTCTGTTCTGACGAGACATCAAACTTCTTTGTATCCTTATCGTAACCGACATGTTGCAAATGGCGAAAACCAGATGGAGCACTGATATCGCCGGAAGTCAATTTGGCCTGAAAATAGCAAAGAGCACAACAATATGAGGATCTGAAAAAGTGTCAGGTAAATCGCAAGGTTGGAAAAACTTATACACTTGTCCTAAAATACACCATACACACACACAGGCGTAGTCCTGGTGCGCGGGCATCTGGGTCATTCAGTACCAGGTATGGAACAGTATCGAAAAAGTTTGTTTTGGATGGTCGTGATAAGCTGATATACTACTGGGATAACACCTAAAGAGAAAAGCTGGAAGCCAAAGATTGGCCCTACGGCGATGGTTATGTATAGGCTTTTTCACAGAAGTGGACATTGGGTTAACGATTTTCAAGAGAGGGGAGACAGTTAATTCACACAACGGGACATTCAGTGACTTCCTGCTTCGTTCAATTCTCGGATATCGGCTGGGATCTACGATCTGCTCGAATCATAATGCGGTGGTACACAGCCTATATCGCCGTACTATCAACGCCATGAACTATCCATTTCCAGTTAGGATTAGGGCAGGACCAAAACGGTCTGCGTGTGAAATTGCAGAGAACGTTGGTGATACAAAAACTGGCCCATTGCAACACTCCAGTGCGCTTCAGAACAAAGTACTAATGATGTCACTTCGATTAGTGGTGAAACGTTTGCAAACAAATTGTCCGGCTCCACAAATAAGCCAAAGAACATTGGTTCTGGGTCTATTAATACGAAGGTTTAATGAGTATGGTCATGTCTTGTGAGAGTTGCACGAGAATAACCTGATCAAAACATGCCGAAGACCGATTTTTCTATCATACCTACTGAATATTGTTGCACTGATGGGTGAGTGCTTGCTTTGTTCACTTCTCCAAGCTGGTTCTAACAGCACTCCACTCCTCTTGGTTACAGTGGTTATGATTAGCTGATTTAACTGAGTCCAGGTTCAAATAGAAGATTTTCCCATTGATACTATTAGGTTTTGTTTTTGAATTTCTGGGAAGTAGGTGGAAACAGTGCAGGCTAGTCAAACAGTCACAAGAGTATACTTCGGCGACCACCATGAGTGGAGGAGGTGGTGAGATGAAATGAAAGCACTTATGCTTATTTGTTTCAGTCCGAAATCAAGCAAGAGAAACCAGAGGAAGTGACCAGGTAGGTTGTGCACTGTTAGACAGTGTTCAGCTGAAAGATTCAACAGATAGAGGTGAGATATCTCCGATCATACAGGGGAAGTTCAAAGCGTGCAAGACTCGTTTTACGACAGCGATCATAAATTAAAAGGTGCGCAAAACGTCACCTGTGTCACGTTTGATACTACTGAATGTTGCAGGAGGGGAACGAACAGAAAAGAAACAGAACGTCAAATGTCTACATTTATACATCCATACACAGTGATCATGCAGACCAGTCAACTCCGCATACAGACATCAACAAATGAAAAAACTTTCAACCATACTTTAGCAGCTGATGGGGAGTGAGGTTAACCTAGACGGTTCGCGCAGAGATCGGTGTCCAGCTGCCACACAGTTTTAACGAAGCTGCGGAAGTCTGGCCACAACTAAGGAAACAATAAGAGGAAATAGTAGATCACTCGGCTGGTAGATCACACACTAACATTTCAGCTGGTTCACCTAATGCTGGTTTTTCCTTCAATTCAAAGAGACGTCGTCGAGTATATCGTTGTCATATGTGTGCATTACAGTAACTTCATTTTTGCCGCGGGTCCTGCAATCGTAAAACGGATCCATTATTGTAGTGCAGGAAAATGTGTAAAGTTGCCCTAGTGGAAACTGGGTTCATTAAGCCCTGAAAGTAGATGCAAGAACCTCAAGTTAATGGACCAACCAAACTGATTGCCAAGAACAGTTGTCGAAAAGATAAATGGGAAGAGTTGTTGAGAAAGAGTCTATCAGAAACACGGCCGCGAAGAATCAAAGGGTATCATAGCAATTGTGCGGACGTGTAGAAACAGGCTGATAACTAGAGGGTGAGCTATGAACAATGTCCATTTAGGATCACGTTGTCTGAGCCCGGGCGCAAAGAAGTGAATGCGATATTTTGCGCCTAAGCCTGCGATTGTTACATATATATACGGTTGTGGTAATCTTAGTGCTCCGCAGCAACCTTCCATACGTTTGGACATGTAACAGTGGATAGAACAACAAACCAGGAACCCGCAGTGTAAGAGTTGAGTGGCCACGTGATCGGTGAACGCATAATTCAAGAAAAATTAGACACCAGGGCCGAGACTATTGTTTTTGCATTTCAGAACGAACGGCCCTCACACCGTAAAGCAGCCACGCTCGACAATTTGACCAATACCCACAAAAGTCACTGTTGAAAGCGTCAAGAAAGACGGAACAATGGTACAATGCTGCTCAAATATCTTTTATATATGCATAACCAATCCACAAATATACTCCACTATTCCCATTTAGAGTAACATGAACGCCACCGTGATAAAATCGTGGTGATTACTAGAAGCCACGAAGAAACTGAACACATTCCTCATTTCTTGCAATATTATTACACTAAACACTAGCTTTGTGCAGCAAAATAACTATGAATCGAAGAAGCTAATATCAGATGTCTTTATTCATGGAATAAGGCCGTTGCATAGTTTTTGGGAGCCGATTCGCTCAGCATTACGGTCAGTCACTAATAAGTACTCATTTGTTTATGAATGGTATTTGAGCAACAACAATCAATAAAAGTAGCCTATCGATTTTTCTTCCAGGCACAAAGCATTCACCTCAGCTAAGGTCACGTGAATAAACGAGGTTTGTACAGCATTCAGTGATGCTAAGTAACGATAACAGCTGAGACAAACATTAGAGAATAACACATGTGCATTCCCAGGGTTCATGTAAAGAAGAGAAACTCAGCTAAGCAATTTTGTCAAACTTTTTTGTATCTGGTTCTCACAGGGTGAAATAGCTGATGTTGATGAGTCTTGAGTACGCAGCTGATTTGTTCAATCTATATAACAGTAGTGTATTTACTTTTCGAGAACACTTCGGTGGAGTTATTCTCTACGCTCATGGAACTTCCACAAAGACTACTTATAATCCTCGTGCTGCGAATTTTATCTATCTTTTCTTCTGCTGCGTCTGCTGCTCAAGAGGGAAAAACGTTCTGTTGGATCCGGTTAGTATCCCCAGTAAGAGTTAGCAGACATTCAAATCTAATATTTGCATGTCTATGTGAACGGGAGAGCGGGAGACTAGGGCACAGCAGTCTCACCAAGCGGAGATGTGACAGGTCCAAAAGCAGCGCACACATTCTGCTGCGAAAAACACCACTATAACTAATCTGGGTGAGGAAAACACTTTGCGACTTAGGAGAAAGTTAATTTCCCCTACATAGAAGTTGAAAAATGCAGAAGCAATAAGGATCTAGTTTCACTCTCATATTTCTCTTCAAATCCGTCCGTACCATCAAGTTGGAAAACAAGTCTGAGTTTTTCTTGGAGGAAATTACTCAAAAGACTGCTAAAGACTCTGCGATGGAAACTCGGGGACTACGCCTACCGGATGATCCCCAAAAAGGGCGAAAGCAGTCGTGGGTTGTCGAACAGTTTTAGGCAACCTCAGGATTAGTTTCCTTTATAAAAATACACTGCGATATTTCAAATATCGTACCAACTGAAACATGAGGCAGTCTGTGTGCAGCACATTCAGTTGTAGAATACCATAAACAAGACATTCAGTAGAGTCTCCCTCGTCAGAACCAAATTGATATGCAAATAAGCGTCTTTATCGAAAGTTTAAAAAATATTTTGCCAGTGAAGGACTGTAAAAACTGATACAACCGAAAGCCGTATATCACTCATCCAGTGAAATCAAATGTTGCTTTATTTTCCTTTCGTGCGCTCCGACGCCATACCAGACGAGCATCTATACCAAAATCCCGTTCGCTTTAACTGATGAAATAGCAGCTTGAGCGGCAGTGAAACACTGGTGTTGTCTTCTATGACGAAGATAGAACCGATGCCCAAAAACGAAAATCCCTTCGACACGTAACAAGTCGGTTAACGCCCATGGATAGCCAGACATATTTCGGAGAGGTTAGCGTTTCTGGTGTCACATCGTTGAAGCGACTTTCGACACATCAGGACATAGAGAAAACAAACCATTAGATTGCAACTACTTTGCCTAGTCAACTATGCAGAACTGGCAAGAACGGATGACGCAGTAGCATAGTAACAACAGGGAACGTTGCTTGTTCAATAAACTTCGTCAGCGTCAGGAAATATGCTTTAGTGTAATCTCACTGACTGAGCTTAAATCCTCTGTTTACGCACTGAAGAAGGCTTCAAAGAAAGCCAAAATAGTTCGGTTTCGATCGTGCACGCTATTCTGAGATCAAACGAATGATTCACTGTGATCAAGTTGGCGACGCAGGAGTCCTGGTCACACAGAACCACGGGTTTTCTCAGTCATTGTGCAGCCTATTCTATCAGTTGTCGTACTCCCTTGCCTATGCAGACGCCATCACAACTACCAACTACCTGATAAAATATGTGAAGGACAGTAGTTTCAGCTAAATGGGTCTTACTATGTCCCAAAACAACTGCTATAGCAGGTGAATGAAAACGGAAGTGCGCGGACAAATGGTTCTACGCTAATCCCGCCAGAAAGAACCACACACTGGACCAAATGGCTCATTATGTGGTCACTTGTGTAAGATACTCGAAGAAACTCCTTCTGGAGGTGTCAGGCATCTGGTCGACCTTGGATTTCAACTTGCGATCCACACTGACGAACACTTCCTAATTGACAATTGAGGAGCTCATCCTACTGAAGCAAGTCCTTTGAGCAGAAATGATTGGCACAGTAACGCAGGACCTTCGAGAGTTCGCATTTGTGTGCAGTTGGTGGGAGAATTAAGAGGTGTGGTTACGTTGTCCTACGATGGGCTGGACATATCAGTATGGTGCTAGTAATACAAGCATCTACGAAGGATAGGATATCGTCGGACTGAAACTCGTACGATAGAGATAGGCTAAGGTGAGTGCGATTAAGTTCGGTGCGTGGCATGTAAAAAT